GGCTGCCATGGATCTCTCTTGTTTAAGTCCATTCTTTTCAGGCTCATACTATTTGTTTAAGGTGTTGTTTAGTTTCGGGGTTGTAGCCCTTGTTCTTAGACTTGTCGTTAGTAGAGTTTTGGCACAATGACTTTCAGGTTCTAAGGGTTGTTCTTCCGCATTAGTTTGGTTAGTTGTTTGTTAAAACCTTGGAGTTTATGGGGACTCCATTTTTATAGTCATTTAAACCTGCTTCCGTATCTTAAAATGCCTTAGTTTTCTTAAAATTTGTTTGTTTGGGTTGGAGTAATGGTTCTCCCACCAGAGGGTTTGTGTGGGTGCCAATCAGGATGGTCTGGGTCGTGACAATTATTGAATTCCTAATTCTAATCATTGAATTGTTGTACATTGTGTATTGCGATTATTGAGTTGATTCTTTATGTTTATTTTTAAGCATGAACCCTTTTCGTGAGTATTCATTGAATGATTATTGGGAATCTTTTGAGAAAAATATTATAGTTTAAACTGAATTTTGAGGAATTAAAGAGGAGTTTGAGAAAGAGTATAAGGGAACTAAGTATTTCCCAAATGTTTCATTTATACATAAAGAAAATGAGTAGACTTTTTTTTGAGAAAAGTTAAAAAAGTTTATAGAAAGATTATGTACAGAGCAGTTACCTCTTAAAGAGGCCCCTTTTGAGTATTTATCTCAACCCATAATGTATTTTTACATTAAGCATAGAGAAACCTTGTTTTCTTAATGAACAATGAGTTTCAGAGACAGTTTAGAGCATTTACCTCTTTTAAGAGAATAGTTTGAGCAATTATCTCAAAACTAGAGAAAGAGTATGTTCTTATACATTTGAGCAAGAGTATATATATATATATATTGTTGGGAGTAGTATTGAGCACCGATATGGGAGAAAGTTGTCACGCCCCGAGCCTACACCCTAGGTGTGGCCGACACTCGAGAACCATTGTTGGTCCCCAAGCGAACCCTTGGATTGACTTATTACTCAGCGGAAAACTTACTCAACAAAACAAGGACTTCAATTTCATAATTTAAGTTTAAAGTCTAAACCAAACTCAATTCAATGAACATCTGGAAATACTTAAGAAGATAACATTAGCTGTCTCAAAACCATCTCAACAAGAAAGGGGACAATAAACAGACTACTCAACGTCTAACTAACTGTGAAGCCTCTAAATTCTAAGATAGGTGTCGGGACATGACCCTGGACAACTTAACTAGAATGTAAAATAACTTTGAATCCCTCCGGAAAGCAAGGAGGCTCACCAACGCTAGCTGAAGTGCCAATGGTATCAACGAATGTTTGTTGATGACCCTGAACACCTGCAACTGCATCATGAAAAGATGCAGTTCGAATGACATTAGTACATGGAATGTACGAGCATGCAAGAAAAAACTGAAACATAGATAACTGAACTAATAACATGGGAAGACATACTCACCTCAACTCAACTCCAATATAAACGCAACAATGATAGATGTAGTATTTAAAACATTATAAAACAGGAGATATAACTCAATGATGTATAAAGATACAATAAGGTACTCTTTATTCTTATTTGGGAGATTCTCTAACCGACAACCATCACTATGAGCTACATGATGATACAATGTCTCGCCCACACAACCAGAACTGTCCTATACCTTGCCAGGGTATAGAACACCTCAACTAAGTGGATCCACTAAGCTATGTCCGAAGGCACTTAGAATTCATCTAAAAAGTATGATCCTTTACCCATGTTGGCTACATGGTTTATGAGGAATGTGAGTTGTCTGAAATCATCCTCATATCGGTGCTCAATACTACTCCCAATAATATATAAACTTATGCTCAAATGTATAAAACATAAACTCTTTCTCAATTTGAGGTAATTACTCAAAAGATCCTATTAAAAGAGGTAAGGCTCTGAAATGTTTCTAAACTCATAAACTCATTTAGAAATCAAGGCTTCTCTCTTTTACATGTAACCATACTTTTTGGGAATACTTAAGTTCCCTTATATCATTTCTCAAACATGAATATAACTCTTCTCATATCTCATATTTACTTTCTCAAAACTTAGATGATTACAAAACAATCCTCAAAAGTGACTCAAAAGAAATCTTGAAGTTTCCTCTTAAACTTACTTCTGTTTCAAATGTAAATTATGACATGTGATTAGAACATGTAGGACATCTCAAGGATTGATGGATACTTTAGAAGCTCATACAAAGAAAAGAATGTTGTCACGACTCAAATGAATACATTCGGAACGAAGCAAGAAAGGAAAAAGGCCTGGCGACCTTGGCGCACTGCTGGCGCGGCACCCTAGGCCCCAAACTACTAACTAGAGTGTGGGGCACACTGCTAGCGTGGGGCACCAGGCCCCAAACTACTGAGCAGTAGGTCAGGCACCTTGGTGGCGCACCGCCTGAACCCCAAACCAAGAAATCTGAAGAATTTTTCTTTTCCAATTCGGGTCCTAGTTCATCTAGAATCGAGTGATTTCTTCTAAATTCTTTCTGATTTCAAAAACCCCACATGAATTCATAGAAAATACACAAAATTCTTATCAAGAATCACAACTCATGCTCAAAATCCTCATCCCAAGAAACTCAAGAACTTCCATTGTTAAAGAAAGAAACAATAATCAAGAACCAAATTAGGAATCTCTTAATATAACGATTTCATGGACGAATTGTAGATGAAAGGTGTGAGGAAGAATGATTCCATCACTATGGGAAACCTCACATAACTGGAATGAATGATGTTCTTAGCGAATCCCACAAATCTTGAAGAACGTTTGAACTTAGCCCCATTTTCTCCTCTTGAAACCTTGATCGAAATCCCTAAGTGTTTAGGAATGTGAATAGGTGATTTAGAATCTTATTATACCCTTAGTTAGGTCAGGAAAAACGTACTAAGACAAGTGGAAAAAAGGAAAAGACCAAAATACCCTTTCCTAAAATGAATGGAATGCCTTAAATAGAGAGGCTTTACTCAAACAACCATAACTTTTTACTTGGATCTTGAAATTTAGCAAACTTGGTGGAGTTGGAAAGATGACTCAAAGACCTTCGATTTGATATCTCATGGGGCACCTAATTCTTCATTTGCTAAAAGATATGGTTGATTGAAGTTGACCCAAAACTAAAAACTGATGGGTGACTTGCATGAATTTCTTTTTAGCTCTTTCGAAGTCCGAGGTGTTATAATATCTCCCCCTTGGGAACATTCGTCCTCAAATGAGATCAGACTAAGCAAAATAGGGGTGGGAAGTGTCTAACAATCTAGCTCAAGCACACAACATACAATTAACATAACTCAACAGATTAACTTAAAGAGTTATTTTACAAGATTTAGTACGTTGGTTTGGAACTGGTTTGAAAGGAAAGAGATGAGGGTATCTCTTCTTTATATCCCCCTCACCCTCCCAAGTAGCTTCCTCAACAAATTGATTTCTCCATAAGACCTTGACTGACACAACCTACTTTGTTCTTAACTTGCGAACATGATGATCAAGAATTCGAACGGGCATCTCCTCATAAGATAAGTTGTCCTTGATACCAATATTCTCGATACGTACAATAAGTGAAGGATTGTCCATACACTTCTTCAACATAGAAATGTGGAATACCGGATGGACTGCTGCTGACTCTGACGGTGCCTCCAACTCATAAGCTACATTGCTAACTCTCTTAGAAATATGGTAAGGATCAATGTATTGGGGACTGAGTATTCCCTTCTTACCGAATCTCTTAACATCCTTCATGGGTGAAACCTTCAAGTATACCCAATCATCAACCTCAAATTCTAAGTCTTTTCTCCTAACATATGTATAGGATTTTTGACGAATTTGAGCTATTTTTAGCCTTTCCTGAACAATCTTCACCTTTTCCATGGCTTTATGAACCAAGTATGGCCCTATCAACTCAGCTTCACCAACCTCAAACTAACCAATATGAGATCTACATCTTCGCCCATAAAGGGCCTCATAAGGAGCCATTTGGATATTGGATTGGTAGCGATTATTATAAGCGAACTCTATGAGAGGCAAGTGGTCATCCCAATTACCATTGAAATCTATGACACATGCCTTCAACATATATTCTAAGGTTTGAATTGTGCCCTCTGCTTGGCCATCCGTCCGAGGATGAAAAGTAGTACTAAGTTTCACTTTCGAACCCAAAGCTTTCTGGAAATACTTCCAAAACTAAGTGGTGAATTGCGCACCTCTATCTAAAATGATAGACATAGAAACTCCATGAAGTCGGACTATCTCTTGAATGTACAATCTGTCATAATCTTCTGCTGAATTTATAGTCTTTACCGACAAGAAATGGGTTGAGTTTTTCATCTGATCTACAATCACCCAAATTGAATAATGCTGTATGCTAGATCGTGACAAGCCAATAATGATATGCATATTAATCATATCCCACTTCCATTCTGGAAGAGCAATGTTCTGAGCCACTCCACCGAGTCCTTGGTGCTCTACCTTGACTTGTTGGCAATTTGGGCACTTAGCAATGAACTTGCAATACATCTTTTAATACAACTCCACCAATAGACTTCTCTCAAGTCATAGTACATTTTTGTGTAAATAGGGTAGATCGAGTATCTGGAACTATGAGCCTCTGCCATGATCCTCTCTTTGAGTTCATCCACCTTGCGTACACATAATCTATCTTGATATCTCAATACACTATCCCCCCTTTGTTGAATAGCCATCACCTTTTGCTTATGAACATTCGCCTTTAGTTTAAGTGAAACAAGGTTTCTATCTTGTTTCTCCTTCACTTTCGACACTAGTGATGATTCAAGCCCATTCATCACCACAACACCACCTTCACTGGAATCCAACAGACGGACTCCCAAACGGGCAAGTCTGTGAACTTCCTTAGCTAAATATTTCTTTCCTTCCTCAATATGAGCAGTACTCCCCATGGACAACCTACTCAAAGCATCAGTAATAACATTAGCCTTACCTAGGTGATATATGATACTCATATCATAGTCCTTGAGCAACTCTAACCACCTCCTTTGTCTGGGATTAAGCTCCTTCTAACTGAAACATACTGGAGACTCATATGGTCGGTGAACACATCCACATGAACACCCTATAGATAGTGATGCCATATTTTTTAAAGCAAAACACTACCGCTGCCAACTCTAGATCGTGAGTTGGGTAATTCTTCTCGTGAATCTTAAGCTGTCTGGAGGCGTAGGTTATAACCTTACCATTCTGCATCAATACAAAACCAAATCCAACTCTGGACGCATCATAATAAACAATAAAGCCTTTTGTACCCTCTGGTAGGGTCAACACCGGAGAAGTAGTCAACTGAATTTTCAATTCCTGAAAGCTTTCTCACAAGCTTCCAACCATTGAAACTTAGTTATTTTCTGAGTCAACTTGGTCAACGTGGAATAAATAGATGAAAACCCCTCGACGAACCTTCTGAATAACCAACCAACCCCAAGAAAATTCTCATATCAATTGGAGATGTGGATTTGGGCCAATTCTACACCGCTTCAATCTTTTGAGTGTCAACTCGAATCCCTTCTCTAGACACAATGTAGCCTAAGAATGCCACCAATTCAAGCCAAAACTCACACTTAAAAAAATTTGGCATAAAACTCTCGATCCTTGAAAGTTTGGAGGACTATTTTGAGATGACTAGCATGATCCTCGTCATTCCTCAAATAGATTAGTATGTCATCAATAAATACAATAAAAATCATATCAAGATAAGGCTTAAACACTCTGTTCATGAGATCCATGAACGCTGCAGGAGCATTGGTAAAGTCAAAAGACATCACAAGGAACTCATAGTGACCATAATGGGTCCTGAATGTTGTTTTTGGGATGTCACTTTCTTTTACTCTCAAGTGATGATAGCCAGATCTAAGGTTTATCTTAGAGAAGAAAGTGGCACCTTAAAGGTGGTTAAAGATATCATCAATTCTCGGAAGGGATACTTATTCTTCATGGTGACCTTGTTCAGTTGGCGGTAATCGATACACATACGAATAGAACCGTCTTTCTTTCTCATAAATAAGGCTGGAGCACCCCAAGGTGAGACACTTGGTCGGATGAAACCCTTATCAAGAAGATCTATCAACTGCCTTTTTAACTCTTTTAACTCAACATGAGACATTCTACATGGCGAAATTGAGATAGGTTGAGTATCAGGAAGAATGTCTATTCCAAAGTCTATTTCTCTTTCAGGAGGGATTCAAGGAAGATCATCTAGAAAGACCTCTGGAAACTCACTCAGAACTGGAACTGACTGCATATGCGGTGTCTCAACACTAAAGTCATTAACTCGAACTAAGTGATAGATGCACCCCTTTGAGACTAACTTTATGGCCTTAAGGTATGAAATGAAACGACCCTTAGGCACTGCTGAACTATTCATCCACTCTAAAATAGGCTCATTAGAAAACTGAAACTTGACTACTCGAGTTCTACAATCAACTGAGGCATAACAAGCATGAAGCCAGTCCATACCTAGAATAAAATCAAAGTCCACCATGTTTAGCTCGATTAAGTCAGCCATGGTGTCCTTGTGATTGACAGAGATGGTACAATCACGATAAATACTTAATGCCAGAATAGACTCACCAACAGGTTTGGAAACACTAAAGGGTGCAAGAAGTCTCTCGGGAAGGATGTCGAACCTCATAGCTACATAAGGATTCACAAAAGATAGACTTGCAACTGGATCAAGTAATGCAGAAACATCAAAAGTAAATACTTTAATCGTACCAGTGACAACATTTTATGCATCTTCTTGCTCTTTGAGACTGGTCATAGCATACAAATGGTTTCCTCCTCCGCATGTCCCTGAAGTAGCTCCTCTCAGAGCAACTCTATCTGTCGGAGCCGCTGAAAATGATTGGGCTCATTTTCCCCCATTACCTTACCTGTTCTTAGGGAACTCTCTGATGAAATGAACTGTCTGAACCTTGAAGCAGCCATTGGAGCCATCACGACACGCTCCTGGGTGGTTCTTACCACACTTAGCATATGTAGGGGGGGTCAAATCAGCCCCTTGTGCAACACTACCCTGAGACTAAGTAGGTTGAGCTCTGAAATTCTGGGAGTTTTGGTTCTTGAAATCACCTCTATTCTTTGCTGCAGGTGCACTTGCTAACGATGGGGCAGGTCTAGGTGATCTTTGCTGAAAAGAGGACCAGTTTGCATTTCCGGCATTCTGCTGGCCAGACTCATGATTGACTGTCTTAGCCCTCTTACTGCGGATCTCTTTCCTGTCTTTCAACTTATCTTCATCAACTTGCTGCACGTGGATCATAAGCCTAGCTATGTCCATGTACTTATCAACATAGCCTCTTTGCCTTTCTTACTTGAAAGAGGGATAGTCCAGACACAAAGAAACTCATCATGCTTCTCATATCAACCACCATTTTCAAAGCATAATGGGATAGTTGGGTGAACTTGAGGTTGTACTCTTGCATACTCATAGATTCCTATTTTAGATTCATAAATTCTCTTACCTTTGCATCCCTTAGCTCGCGGGGAAAGAAATTCCCCAAGAAAGGCTTTTTGAACACAATCCAACTCAAATGTGGTGCCCCATCCACCCTGTTCTTCTTTCATTGGTCATGCCATATTCTAGCAACACCTTTGAGTTGCTATGAAGCTAACTCTACACGCTCTGCATTGGCAACACGCATCACCTCAAACACCTTCTGAAGTTCCTCCAGAAAGTTCTCTAGATCTTCGATGACCTTTTACCCTGAGAACCCAGGGGGATTTATCCTCAGAAACTCATGGATCCTGGATGTATCAGCCACATCCTGGCGATCTACACTTCATTGACCAACCTGATTTGTCATGACCTGAGTCAACATCTAGATAACATTCGTAAATTCAGCATTGGTGACATCTCCCTGATGGGGTTGCACTTCTGGTGCATTGGGAACCTCCTGACCTTGAGGATTAAGATTCCTCCTAGCGAGATGTCCTTGAACAACTCTTTGTGGAGGCATGATCTGAAAAGATACACGTAAGCATGAATTAGGAAAAACTTTCAACGAGTGGAACTCTATCGCACGTAAAGAATAATAAGAAAGGGAAATGCTTCCTAGATCTCGCAGCATCCCAATTATCGATGTGGCACGCTTCACACCGATAAATAGGACCCTACCGACACAACTTTAGAGGAAGTCTTGGACTCTTAAACTCTATGCTCTGATACCAAATTTGTCACACCCTGGATGTGGCCGACACTTGAGAACCATCGTTGGTCCCCAAGCGAACCCCTTGATCTGGCTCACTATTTAGCGGAAGACTTACTCAACAAAATAGAAACTTCAATTTCATAATTTAGGTTTAAAGTCTAAACCAAACTCAATTCAATGAACATCTAGAAATACTTAAAAAGATAACATCAACTGTCTCAAAAACATCTCAACAATAAATGGGATGATAAAGAGACTACTCAATGTCTAACTATCTATGAATCTTGTAAATTCTACGATAGGTGTTGATACAGAACCCCCGACAACTCAACTAGAATGGAAAATAATTGTGAATCCCTCCAAAATGAAAGGAGGATCACCAAAGCTAGATGAAGTGCAAATGGTATCAACAAAGCGCCTATTGATGACCCGAACACCAGTATTTGCATCATGAAAAGATGCAGCTCGAATGACGTCAGTAAATGGAATGTACAAGCATGCAAGTGGAACTGAAACATAGATAACTGAATTGATAACATGGGAAGACATACTCACCTCAACTCAACTCCAATATGAACGCAACAATGATAGATGGAATATTTAAAACACTATAAAATAGGAGATATAACTCAATGATGTATAAAAATACAATAAGATACTCTTTATTCTTATTTGAGAAATTCTCTCACAAAA